TTCATATATATACACACATACACACACACACATATATATACACACATATTACTTTCACGTATGTTCTAGAAAAAAAATCAAGCCAGTGATATCAATATATGCATTGAGTTCAGAGGAAAGAGAGAAGAGAGAAGAGGAGCATTCCAAGACAGGTTTTATAGAGAAGACTTGAGCAAGTCCTTGAGGACTCCTTGATTTTTGAGCAAATCTCCTTGATTTTTCTTTCTCAAGTTAAACAAGTTAGAATATTCTCAGCTGTTACCTGAACATTGTTGCAAAGTACAAAAACTGTCTTAAATTATTTTAGTGAGAATATTCCTCCAGTTAGAGCCCTCCTATGTAAAGTTCATACCAGCCCGGAGACAAGCCACCTGTCTGAATACCTTTAGTATGTAGTAGTGGTGCATATTATATATGCACACACATATATATATATATATATATATATATATATATATATACATAACCTAATATCACTGTAAACACTGGAGGCCTCCAGAGTTTGCCATGCAGAACATCTAATTCTACCCGTGAGGGGCCAAAGCAAGTGAAAGCAGACAAGGAATATTTGACATGCAGTCATCACAAGGGAGAACTATGAAGACAGGGCAAGGGAGTTGGGTACAAATAGTACCCAGAACAGATTTAGACCTGGCACAGCATTCCCCATGCAAAACCATTCATTTTCAGATTTTAACTCCTCCCACTTATTCCTCTCGCCCCTAGCCTGCTCCTCCTTGGCTGGAAGCATTCCTTCAGTTCCCTGGCCTCATTTCTGCCTGGATGAGGTATCTATGAACAGTCTGTTAGAGAAAATTTTTGACATATGTCCATAAATTCCCTTGGATAGATGACTAAAGCTTCATGCTTTCATGGTAATGACCTTGGTTGTACTCCTGGAAAGAACACCTCTAGTAAAACTCATCACCTTACTCCAGAGTACCAGATAAACATGGAAGCTAAGTAACAGCAGTTCTTTTGCTACACAAGTGGGACTTCAGCCAATCTGCTGCCTCTCACCTTCTGTGGTTTAGAAATTCTGGAGCTGCCATACTCATGCACAATAGTGTGCACAGGCTAAAGAACAATGGTTCACGTTGCCTTCCACAGAAGTCTCTAGAGGATGGAAAATAAAAATAGCAGTTGCACAACATTTCCTTTGAGAAGCTGATGAAATTTAAGGTTTTCTTCTTCCCATAGATATACAAACAAAAGTTTGCAAATAACTTCAGGAGGCTCATGGACCTATGAAACACATGTATAGAGCCCTGGCAGTCCACAGATGTCAAGAGAAGCCCCTCTGTGCTAATGGGAAAGGACCAAGGGAGGAGTGAACACTGGAGTTTTTAAATTCCTGGGCTTAGATGGACCATGTATAAAAGTGAGAATTAAGTAGTTTGTTATTTATTCTCTTTCCCTTCCTTTTTCCTTCCTCTTATCTTCCCTTTTAACTCCCTTCTTAACAATAAATCCCATATCCTAGTCTTGCTTTTTGCCTGGATATAACTAGTCACTGTTGAGGCTTCAGTGTGACACTTGCAGACAAAATACAGTCAGTTCTGCTATAATGTGACATGCATGTTTCTAAAAATCACAGCACTGCACAAAATTGCACAATTAAAATGCACAGGCATATAGGGAAAATGAGGTTAGAGGCACAACCCTCCAAAACCTCATCAGTGACACTAAAAAATAAAAGAACGTAACTAAAAAGATAGCTGTTTTAGACATGTTAAATGGTTAATACATCAATACTATAATAAATATGGTACTTTACCTAGAAAAAGGCCTGAAGTTTGCTCATGGAGGTGCATGTTGGAGGTATTGCAGTTTGTGACACCACATGTGGATGCGTGGGCTCATTACACACGTGTGAACTGGGGGAGCTGGTGGATGTTTGGGGTGTGTGTTTTGGGTATTCCTGTATGGCTCAGTTCAGCTGGATGCAGTTTTCTGCATTCACCTAGCATTTCTTGCCGGTGAAATTGCACATGAGCAGATATGAAATTTTTGTTATACTCAAATTGTTCCCTGGTATGTTAAAATCTCATCAGAATAAATTCCCATTTTCAAAACAAGTGTTATAGCAGGATTATATCTAGATTATAAAAATAATTAAAACTTAAAGAGTAAAAAGCCCTTAAGGCCCCAGTGAAATGATGCTATAAAGGTAGCAAAAAGGCGAATATTTCCAATCAGTGAATAATCTACTTTGTCCTTGTAACTCAATAATTTTGGGCCTCTTTGCTCCCACTCTAAGGTCCATCTCCACATAGTGGTAAGTTCAAATGAAAAGCACACTGGGCTCCATAACTTCAAAACATACTACCAATCCCGAGTGAAGTCTTCTCGGGGCTAGGAAGAAGTTGTCATGACACACACAGACTTCTTGGAAAGTCTTCATTATACATTATCCCTAAAGTCCCAGACCATGTGGCAGCTACACTAATATTACTTCCCTTCCTCTTCACACTTCCTTGTCCTTTCTACCTGAACCTCCCAAAAGCCAACAAAATTCCAGCCTTGCTATTTCTCTCCTCTTATCCCTCCTTCCTCTCTTTCCCACTTTTTCAATTTTGGGTTAAAAAATTCCACACCCAGGTCTATTACTTCCCTATTGCTGCTGTAACAAATTGCCACAAACTCAGTGGCTTAAAATGGCATAAATTTATTATCTTACAGTTCTGAAGGTCAGAAGTCCCAAATGAGCTTTATGGGGCTAAAATCAAGGTGTAGGCAGGGCTACATTTCTTCTGGAGGCTCAAGGGGAGACTCTGCTCCTTGCCATTCCCAGCGTCTGGAGGCACTAGCATTCCTTGGCTTCTGGCCCCACATCACTCCAGCCTCTGCTCCTGTCATCATGGCCCCTTCTTTGACTTTGACCCTCCTGCTCCTGTGATTACATTGAGTCCACTGGCTAATCCAGGATAATCTCCCCATCTCAAGATCCTTAATTTAATCACACCTGCAAAGTCTCTTTTGTCATATCAGGTGACACCTTCTCAGGTTCCAGGGATTAGGACGTGAACACCATTAGTTAGTCTACCACACCAGGGGTGATATTAAAAATGCTTAACAACTAATGCTCCACTTAAGGCAGGAATTCTGACTTTCAGAAAGGTCTTAGGTCATAATGCTGGAGCAGGACTCTGGAGCCCCCGATGTGATGCTTGATGGATTACAGAGAGGGCTGGGAGGTCTCAGGGAGGCACCATGGTGTTGAGGCTCTCAAGCGCTAGAAGCAGCAGTTCTCTCTAAACAATATGAAAGGTTTTCAACCACACCCATGTATTTTGGCTGAACACCAACTTGTCCATTCTCTTCTTTCCATGGATCAGTTTAGCCTCCCTAGGCTTCTTTAAGTTCTCCTCACCACCTGCTTTTGTGATCAGTATACAAAGCTCCTAGGATTTTATCCCATGCAGTTCTTAGCCCTGTTACTTGGAATGTCTCATTTAAGCCTCATCACATGCCCAATCCTATGATTAGAGTCTATACTTATCTTAGTTCTGCAATAACATACTCAGGGTCATATGTGTTATTACTTGTTAGGGTCTGAGTTTGACCTAAGCACTTTGCTTGAGAAATTGAACTCTTGGCCGTTGTGGTTAGTGTCTTCAAGGAGACGCACATCTATTTAGGTAGATATGGAAAGCTTGTACAAAGACCATGCAGGCAATGGGGAGGGGCTGAGTGACAACCTTTAGTCCGTATGAATTCATAAGTTTGCAAAGAACCCTCCCCTATAGAATTTAATGATTATAGGGAGGAAGTCTCAATCATATTATAAGAATACTTATCTATTGTTTAAGGTCAAACCTGTCAACTCTTGAATAGATATTCTATGATAAAAAGATTACAGTCAATCTTCAGAGCAAATCAAATCCAAAATCCAATTTCTATTGGCTACATAACATTCTAAAATTAAGTATGGCATTCTAGTAAAGTATGTAATAACATAAATAAATAAATGAATAAATAAAATCTATAGTCAAGAGTTTTATCTGTAAGACCTAACTGCTTGTGGTACAAGGCTCTCTCTGGCTAGAATATTATATTCAACTTTCTCCAATGGTTAAAGAGTCATAGTGACAAGAGAAGCAGCAGAGAGAATAATGATAAAATCATTTCTGGATTTTTGAGTCTTTTATTAACTTCGACCTAGTCACAGATGCAATTAGAAATGTTTTGCCCACACCTAGAGGAAATAGTATCTAACAGAGCTAAGTAACACTACCCTGAGAGAAAAAGAATCATTTATGAGTATTTTTGATTTTGCTGTTTGGAAATACTTTTTGGTTTGGACAAGAATGAATATTAGCAATTTTCATGCATTTAATTGATGCATAATATAGAAGAGATGGACATTACAGAATTTGGGTTTTTTTTGGTAAAGATGTGAGATCTTGATTGGCAGAAATGAATTTTCTATAGAGTTCCTTAGAATCATTTATGATATTTATAAATCAGATTGTTAAATAAATGTCAAAAGTCAACATTAGAGTCAGTTAAAGATGCTTTGGTGAGGAGTTGGAAGGAAATTCTATTTTAAACCCTTAAAATATCCGTGTTGGTTTGGAAAATACCCCCTTTATTTAAATTTCCTAAAAGGCAGCCCCTCTTCCTACCTTGATGATGGAATACTGGATGATTTCAGTCAAAAGATATAATTATTACCATAAGAAAAAGTCCTGCATGAAAGCACATGTTGCTACTTTACTCATTCTCAAAATGCTGTTATGACTGTCAGAAAGAACAGGTAAGATGCCACAGGAGTCCGAGAAAAAGAGATCAAAGTATTTTTGTTTACTTCTTTGAAGTCTTGTAGTATCTACTGTTTATTATACATACTTCTTGATTCATGCTGAAAATTGGAATTCACCCATTTCTCTCTTTTCCTGTCAAAGATGCAGATGGGGCACATTTCTTTGACTCCATCAATCCCTGCCCCCACACATTAGCACATGCACACGTATACCTAGCCAGTGGAAAAGAAAAAAGAGTTACTCACATTCATCCATTCTACAAAGATTTCCAGGCTGCAATGGGAGGGCTTTACCTCTCCCTGAAGGATGAATAAATAGGTAGCTTACTGACAACCTGTTCTCAGTCAAGCTGAAGTGGGAACAAGACCAAGGTCTTACTCTACTGTTGGACTTATGAAATCCAGTCCTGGCAACATGGAGAGGATAGTCACCTGTCTAATGGTCATCTTCTTGGGGACGTTGGTCCATAAATCCAGCTCCCAAGATCAAGATCGCCTCATGATTAGAATGCGTCAACTTATAGATATTGTTGACCAGCTGAAAAATTATGTGAATGTCTTGGTAAGACCATACTTGTCACAACAAAATTTAAATAATATTTTTTAATTATTATTAAAGAAGGCTTTGACTTATAAAAATAACTCAGAACAAATTTTCTTTTGCTCTAGGACACTGAATTTCTACGATCTCCACAAGATGTAAAGGTAAGACCAGTTGAGTTTATTTCTGAAAATACATTTGATAAAAGCTATTAAATACAATAAGAAAAGCATTAGCATATTTATTGAGAAATGTGCTGAATTTCAATAAATTTAGGGTTTAATATTTGGTTAAAATATTTATTTCTATTTTGGTTAAGTATTCATTGATTTACCAACAAACCAACCAAAAAATGATATATTACATTTCTTATAAAATATGATAATCTTCAATACTACTCCTAAGTAGTATTGTTGAGATAGCATAACAAAACTAGAAAGGAGTCCTATACTATGATCAGTTTCTGAACAATGACCAGCTAAGTTATATTTTAAGAGCTGTTGGGTATGAAGGCTCTTGAGCCCCCTTTGTAATCCTAATTAGGAAATATAGATACATACCAGAAGAAGCAGGATTCACCTCTAATAACAAGAGAAAGAAAGAAAGAAAGAAAGAAAGAAAGAAAGAAAGAAAGAAAGAAAGAAAGAAAGAAAGAAAGAAAGAAAGAAAGAAAGAAAGAAATGAATTAGAATATAGAGACAGTATGAAGGAATAGAGATGTGGAAATCAAAGCTCTTCTTTAGAATATAGTTCATATATACCTTGACCTCGGTGAGTCGTGTCTTTGGCCTTCGGTGAGGTGTTTTGAAAGAACCATTTTCAACAATTCATCTTGTCTCTTAAGTCGTTTGGATCCATTAGAGTCCCAGGAAAGAGGCCTGGCATATAGTTCAAGAGTGCTTCTTTTTCTCCAGTAAATTCTTCAGTCTGGTCTTCTGGTTTGGTACCCTGAGAGTATAAATGCATTTGGGGAAATGAGGAAATGTTTTCATTGTCACAGACCTTTAATTGCATAAATTAGAATAACTATAATAGTGCTACCAGTAATTAGGACACTACAAAGGGGAAGATTTATGAAAATATATTGCAGAGAAAACAATTATCGTAAATGACTGTGTAAAAGTTTAGAAAGTGAATGAGTCACAACTATTGCTTTTCTCTAAAATTCACTCTCCATCTCTGAACCTAACCACTCTCATTTACTAGGTCCTTTTCTAATAAGCTGCATCTAAAATGAAAGTAGCACATTCAGGTTATTGGAAAGACTTTTCTAATAAGTGAGAATATATCTTAATCAAATGTTATCAAAACATATATTTTCAGCATCCCACAGACCTTGTTTAACTGCTGTGGTTAGAGTCCTTTCCAGAGTTTCCTAGCTACAGTCTATAAGTTGCAAAATAAGAAAGAGATTCCAGTTTCTAACTTTAGCTGATCCTCTGGGTGCTTCCTTCATGTTTTGTTAATGAAAGAATTTTATCTTACATCATAATGAGAAGATTTTGTCTCAGTGATACTACATCTATCTGATAATTTGATTAAGCAATGCTGGCTATGATACAAGTGAGTAATGGTGTGTCTAATATCTTTAAGCTATACTAGCAGGCAAACTCAGGAAGAAAGAAAATAGTTCAAGGCCATGTTAGCATTATATCAACATTTTCAGGGCTAGCATCAAAGCAGGGTCTGTAAGAGATTTAAAAATGTTAAAAAGTTTAAATAAAACCATTTATAGATTGCATTTATATAGTGATTAGCTAGGATCTCTAATTGGCCTCTCCAGGCATCTTTCTATTTCATTCTGTCTAATCATATAACCATTGGTTCTCGACTAGTGGTGATTTTTGCCCCTCAGGAAACATTTGTCATTTTCTGGAGAAGTTTTTGGTTGTCACAAGTGGGGTGGAGATGGGGGTGCTACCGGTATCTAGTAGGTAGAGGCCAGGGATGCTACTAAACATTCTAGAATGCACAGGACATCCCTGACAACAAAGAACTATCCAGGCCAAAATGTCAGTGGTGCCACTGTTGAGAAACCTTGATATATATCCAGTTTGTGGTAAGACAAAGGTAATGTTGCCCAGTTAGCAAGACTGCCTAATAGGAATGGCCAGGAAAAAGAAGAGGGGGAAAAAAAAGGAAGAAGGAAGGAAAGAAGGAGAAGAAAGAAAAAGAAAAAAGGTAGGATAAATAGACTTGAAGGAAAAAAGTATTGTCAAATATTCACTTGCAAAACAACAAAGCCAAATCTGCCTCCTTGCAAAAGCAGGCTTTGACTTGTTCTCTGGCTAAAGAGAACAATGGTTTGTTAATCTTGTTTTTTACTTCATTCTGCTCCCTCTAGTCCGCAAAACTAATGTAGGAGCAGAAAACTCTTCCTGTTCTCATGTGTTGATGGATGAGGGAAACAAAGCTTTGCCCTTGGAGTCTGCTGTTACCAAAGCACAGCAAAGGAAAACAATGTCTATGCTCTCAGATGGTGCTAAACAGGGACTTGAGCCATCCTGTAAACTCCTCAGAAATAGTATGCCTGAGGCTGCCTAAATCAAGATTAATCTCTCCACTCCCTTTCTCAACACAGCCTTAAGGCAGCTAGCAGGAACTGCTCCTCCACTCCTTTTCCTCTCTGAGGCTGCCTTTGATGTGCATCTAAAGCCAAATCCAGTAGTTATTTGTCTTGGACCACACATTAACAGAGATAGCTCTGCTGCTTGCACAACACAACACAACACAACATAGCACAGCACAACACAACACAACACCATTGTCTATTAACCCAGGTAAACAAGGAAGGGTGGAAGAGATAGCACAGCTGCATCAGTATGGGTGTCAGTGTTTAGATGACTTTCATTTAAAGACTTTCAGAAAGGTTTTTTCGGGTGTAAAAGCTTTGACCATTGGTCTTGACCATTCCTGCAATATTATCTTAAGGGAATTCTTTTGGAAGGGCCCCTCTACTTCTTTGGAACCTAATTTTCTTTCAACTTACACATGTAAATGTTAACTCAGCAAAATGGGCCTCTGTGAGAAATGCTGGTTTCTCAGATCATCACGGATGAAGCAGTTAGTGTTTTCAGTTTCAGCTGGAAAATTTACCTCTTTAAATATGAATATTATTTTTTTCCAGTAAGTTAAGCCGGTTGTGGTCAAAAAGAAGAGAAAAGAAAAAACTTCAACAAACATGAACATGTGGTTTTCAAGGAACAAAAAGTGCTATAATTAACATTTATAAATAGTTTCTATTAAATAAGCATTTTGGCAAACATATGGAAAGGACACCACCTTGCCCTTATGAAAGGCAAGCTACCCTGATATAAGGAAACCAGATAAGCTGGTTCTCGGCTTGTGGCTATATATGCAAAGCAAACCTGATGGGTTTGTGTCTTAAAGATGCATGTTATTAATCAACATTTATATCGGGTAAGCATATGGGTTGGAAAATGCAAAGCAAGCCAGATGCTATTTTCAGCTGAGTGTCCATGAGAAGATTCAGATAATATTATTATGCATAGGCCTGCCTTGTAGGGACTGGGAGGGGTTGAGGTTTCTGGTTATAAGGTAGTGGCTTCCATACCCATTAGTGAAATGAAGATACAGCAACTCCGGGGGCAAAATAGTATCATATACACACATATGCTGAAAGAAGAGAGTAACTTGGTTACAAGTAACCTGAATACAGCCTCTTAGATCAGCATTCAAATGTGTTCAACAAGTCAGTATAAATTTTGTTCTTCCAATAAATGCTGTTTCCTTTCCAGTTCAATTGCCAAGATTTTGGCTTCTTCACTAGTCACTAGTTATTTAGCCAAGAGGCAAGTTTTTGATGCATGTTCTGTTCACTTCTCCATTCTCTGAGACACTAACTACTCTTACCTTCTAAGAAATGGTCTTCCCTCCCATTGGTTGAGCAAGTCTCAAACTCTGTTCCTCGACTGCTTGATTCAGGCAGAATCTTACCCTAACTGCCCTGAGAGTGTGAATAGGATTTTAGAAAAGTCCTGGGTGGTCTATGGCAAGTGTATTGAATCTTAGATGAGGAATATGCCATTAGAGGTTGGCGCCCACTTCCTTTCCCTAGGAGGGGCTTTAACTCATTTACCTCATCTGTTGACTCTACAAATATATATATAAAATTCACTAGCAACAAGACACTATGCTTTGTGCTATATAAAATTCTGCTAAGACACGTTATTGATATTCCTGTGTACAGTATATAGAGAAGCAGCAAACAAATGAAAAAGATTCATAATCAGACTATAGAGTAATTTACCCAAAACTGCCACCAGTCACAGTGTAACTTTTAGAGCCTCAAAATTCAGCGAATATTTCTAAACAAAACTAATTCTCCCTTTCAAAGCATAAAGGTCCTGCCCACTGCCCAGGCCTCAAAATGTCCTCAGTATAGCATTAGGAATAAAAACCTGTGAAGTGAGGCTTCTTTCTCTCTTGTCTACAAGACTGGGAAATGTTCTTTCTTCCCTAAAACAAGGAAATTTACATGCAGGCACCACTCAAAGATTAATTAGGAGGTGAAATCATACTCACTTGTCTGCTGAAATGAATGTGATCCAAGACTTGTGGAAGAGGTAGAAACAGGATTGGGAAAGCCATTTTTTACTTTCTGAATAACTTTCATTAACATATATACAAATTACTTCTCTTTCAGAGACACTGTGAATGGTCAGCTTTTTCATGTTTTCAGAAGGCCCGACTAAAGTCAGCAAATACAGGAGACAATGAAAAGATAATCAGTGTATTAATTAAACAGCTGAAGAGGAAACTACCTCCCACAAAGGCAGCAAGAAGACAGAAACACAAACTAGTAAGATTGTCATTCATTATCTATCTCATTTGTACTTACTACCTATGTCTATTACATTATAAACACACACACACCTGTAGCCTGAGGCTCCAGTGCCTTCCTTACAATTACACCTATCATACATGGTGCATTTTGAGAAGTAGGGTCACTCTTTGAAGTCCACAGACCTGAAAGTGCCCAGAAATTCAATTAGAATTCGCCAATATTCTCTGGTAGCTGGAAGATGTTAACATAGCCTTCTAAGGTGAGGAAGTCATTAGCCAGAGAATCCAATTGAGATTTAGGAATTAGGAAATATTTTCCTCTCCTTTTATGGTGACATATAACTTGTATTCTTATTACCAGGAGCTAGATGGTTTTCTGACATGAAAAGAGACAGTCTACAAGAGACTAGTATAAATCTCACACTTTGCCTTCCTCTCTTAAAGAATATTACCATCCTGTATAATAGCGGATTCAATATTGCATTAAAATAGGTAGCTCTCATTACTAGGGTAGGGAATTTTAATAGTCCATAGTTTTTTCGGGCCCTGAGACCCTCTTGTATATGTCTTCTTATGCCAACTCATGAGCAATTCTATATTCAAGAACATGGTAATTCAAGCATTAATTGAAAACAGTGGGAAAACACGTAAAATAAATTACTCTCATTTTTTTTTTTACTAGTTCTCCCTCCTCCAAGAAATTCTATATGTGATTCAAATGCAATCTTAATTTTGTTAGCAAAATGATTCTTATTTCCTTTGATTGGCTGGCCAGGTTACCATATGAAAAACATCCTTCTAAAACTTTCCTTAGGAAGAAGGGAGCTGAGCATGTTTCCGAAACCTAACGCCAAAGACTTGCAGAATGGTAACTTTGATACTGAATTTAGAGCTATCCAGTTAAGCACTTTCATTTTATAAAGAGAGACCTACCAAAGAGGTTAAGTGACTTACCCCAAGTTCCACAACTAGTAAATGTCAGAATGAGAATTAGAACTTATATATACTACTTTTTTTTTTTTTTGAGACAGAGTCTCACTTTGTTGTCCAGGCTAGAGTGAGTGCCGTGGCGTCAGCCTAGCTCACAGCAACCTCAAACTCCTGGGCTTGAGTGATCCTTCTGCCTCAGCCTCCCGAGTAGCTGGGATTACAGGCATGCGCCACCATGCCCGGCTAATTTTTTCTATATATATCAGTTGGCCAATTAATTTCTTTGTATTTATAGTAGAGACGGGGTCTCGCTCTTGCTCAGGCTGGTTTTGAACTCCTGACCTTGAGCAATCCGCCCGCCTCGGCCTCCCAAGAGCTAGGATTACAGGCGTGAGCCACAGCGCCCGGCCAAGAACTTATATATACTACTTTTTAGTGAAAGGCTCTCAGTACAGTATCAAACTGGCATTGAGATGCTAACCACCAAGTGTTTGGTGTTTGGTATCTCAATAGGAATGAGGACAAAAAACATAAACAAACATAAAAAAAGTAAGCAGGCAATACATATATGAAAAATCATTCAATCTCCCTAGTAATCAAATAAAAACAAGTTAAACAAGAAAACCCAATTTTTTTTTCAAATAAAATTTTCAACAATATTCAATGATAAGAATGTTCTAGGTGAAAAGAGGAAAAACTTTTTTTATAATGAACATTAAAAGCCTTAAAAATTTTTATCCTTTTAATTTACTAATTCTACTTCTAGGAATTTATGAAATAAACAAACATACATGTGAAAAATTATTTACATAGATAGTCTTTGCAGTATTGTATACACAGACGTGAAAAGCTGGAAGCAACCTATGTGTCCAAAAATAGTAATAGTTCCATCCTATGTTGGAATACAAAGCCACCTATATATCATATTTTCAAGGAATAAGTAATACCTAGGAAATGCTCGAGATACGTTAATGTAAAAAAAAAAAAAGCAATTACCAATGAGTGTAAATAACATAATTGCAAAGTAAAACAACACACTCATACACACTGGGAAGATACACACCAAAGGATTGCAGTGGTTATCTCTGGGGATGGGATTACAAGTAATTTTTTTTCCATTGTTACTTTCTGAACAATTTCATGTACTTCCCAAATCTTTTTCAGTGAACATGACTTATGTCTCTAATGGGAAAAATAAGTTTTAAGTCATCGTTTTATTAAGTAGGGGAAAAGTTTTAAAGAAGAATACTACTTTTTCATTGTTTTCTAGACATGCCCTTCATGTGATTCTTATGAGAACAAACCACCCAAGGAATTCCTAGAAAGACTGAAATCACTTCTCCAGAAGGTATCTACCTTAAATTACATTTGATTTTCTACTTCATCATTATCTATTCGGACTGCTTCTTATGTACTCATGGTATGCTCTTTCCACAGATGATTCACCAGCATCTCTCTCCTAGAACACAAGGGATATGAAAATTCCTGAGGATCTAACTCAAAGCTGGACACTATATTACATACTCTAACACAGCAGTGAAACTCACGTCTTGGTTTTCCAAGTAGAGGAGCACAATATATTAGTGAGGGGAAAAAACCTCAGATAAATGTGCAGGTCAGGATTATTTGTTCCAAATTACTATGCAATCCTTCAGTTCAATCCACATGCTCCATGTTTGGGTCAACTTGGAAAAACTTTCTACTCAATTAGGGTCTGACTTCCTATGTTATTAATTTCTATGACTTCTGAAGTTTTTACATTGCTGTCCAACTTTGACATTTCTTGGTTGGAGAAGAAAGTTAAAATTTTTTAAAAAAAATATAGTTTGGAAGTTTATTCATCTTATATTAACCTTGATCTTCATTACCACAAGAATGAGGTCTATTATGATCATAAAAAGTATATACTTAAAAAGTGTATACTTTCACTCAAGCTGGAAATACAGAAACGTAGGATCAAAATGAAAAGTTGAAGTCTTTATTCTTTTAAGGAAATGAAAACTGACTATTTAAAAACTTATATCAGAAGACTTTACTTTTTATCTCAGAATGTCTAACATATAAACGTGTAATTTATTTACGTACCAGAGGAATACTAGATGGCTACCAAAAAAGACTTACTTCTTTGTTGGGGTTTATTAAAATATTTAAATACTCTAGATATGAATGTATTTATGGAATAAACTCTTAGTCTTTTTTATTTCTTAAAGTGGTAATAGAGTATCAAGAAGTAGGTTTACTATTACCTTTCTCCAACCCCCAGTCCACTTATAAGCTAATATTTTAAGCTTGTGGAAATGGCAATTAAAAGCTATAGAGGGACATACATGAGGTAGTCTTCTGGAACCAAATAGAGTTTAAAAAGTCTTATAGCTCTCTTCTCAAACTGTTATAGAGATTGTATTACAAGTGAGCTAAGAACTTGAAATGTCTGTCTTCTTTCTTCTTCCTTCTTTTTAAAATGAATCTTCTGGTATGATGAAATTTAAAAACATGTTTAGCATTTTAGACATATTGTGTTTGCATACTTTGGATACGACAAATTCGATCACCTATATAATTTCAAAATCAAATGAGGCATGTCCCATTTGAAAATAGACTTTGGCATAAGTATTGCATTTTTTTCACCCTTGAGTAGTAAAATAAGCAAGCTACTCTGTCATTTCATATCAAATCCAGCAGAGTTTGTCTAAATATTAACTTAAAAACTCTAGAAAAATAAAATGTTTTCTAGAATGGTATAAGCTATTTGAGAATCTCTTATTGTGAAAATCACTGTGAGTGTGCAAGAGGATGTGGGATGGAAAATGTTTTATGCTCTGAGAAGAAAAGTTATCTACTTAAAGGTATTTTAAAAACAAATAGACCTAATTTATAGTTCTAAAAGATGTATTAAGAATCAATTATTTAATCAGATCTCAATGAAATGTTTTGTCATAGACAAGGTACTCTGTTTTAAAATATATTACAAAGGAATTACATGCCTAATGATGATAATATGCATCTGAAGTCTGCCTAAGTATCACATGGTGCCAGCCCGGGTTGTTTGTTGCGATAAAAGTTGAAAGCAGGCACAAAGATAACTTGGGAAATATGGAGTTTGTATTTCATGTTTCTGGCTTTATAGCTGTTGACTTCTATGATGTTGTGATTTTATATTTAAAATAATGTATTTATTTTGGCATGTTTATTGTTAAAAATATCTTGTTTCAATCCTTTTGACCAGGGTCTCTACCTTAAACATAAAAATAATTTAATGGGGTATTGGCTAAAAGCCTTCACTAAACAGAATTTAAACCTCAAGTAAAGATCTTACCAGCACCCTAGGAAAAGCAATGCATTGGAATAAACAAGATGAAGAAGTAAGACTTGAACAGCTCCATCTTCATTGATGTGTTTAAAACTCAGCTAGTTCTTAAAAGAGATATAAGGATAACCCATAAACAGTTGGCTCTGAACATATTGTTGGCTCTGAAACTGTGGTCACTTGCTTAAACTTTTTGTGTTTCCATTTCCTTACCTGTAGCATGAGGGTGTTAGACTTTATCTCTAAGGTCTATTCTACCTTTTTTAGAGCTTTAAATGTCTATGAGTTTAAAGTTCTGGGTACTCTTACAGCAATATTTGATCATACTTCTGAGTAAAACTTTCTATTGAGTCTGATGCTCAGTTGCTTAACATTATTTCAATAGCATTTGTAGCAACACTTACTACAGGAACAAGGGAAATGTTCCAAGAAAAAAGAAGGAAGGAAGGAAGAAAGGAAAGAAGGAAGGAAGAAGAAAAGAAAGGAAGACAGACATTGATGTAGATCATAAGAGTTCAGGGAAAATTAATCATGAATTTTATTATTTGAGCTGAAAGTGTCATCTTTGGACACTTGTATAAAATTGTAGCATTATTACTCTATATTATTATGCTGTTTGTATTTACATTTGCATCTGAGAATTTAGTCTTAATATGAACTATGTACTTTATAATTTAATAATTATTTATTATATATTTGGTTTTAAATGTTCATGTTTATGGCTTCTTATTTAAGACCTGATTTATTAAATACTATCCAGTTAGTACAATTGTCTTTTGTGATTCCCTGGAAACACTTCATTCAATAGTCCTAGCAGAAAACAAAAGATGATCCTTGGTTTCTGGGAGCATATAGCTTTTTAACCTGTATATGGTAAAGATGATCTTCTCTTCTTAACTGCTTTCACTGAAATGGAACTATCCACTTTCCATTCCTATCTCAAGGATATCACTTCCTTTGCAGCTGGCAAGTCTCCGGAAGGTTCAGGAGGGGTTAAAGCTACCTTTCCCGGTGCCCACTGCCACCATGACATGTGCACAGTCACTCAAAACTCCCTCCTGCACTCAAATTTATCCCGTCTAGCCTTTCTGTCCTCTCCTTATTTATTAATGATCATAATCTCCTGGCCACTCTCCCATGTTCACTGAGGACTGAGGCAGTTATTTCCCTCAAATCTGACTTCTGCCATCATCCTGAGTGACATCAGTGCCCACAGGGAGGAGTCCACTGACATTGCAGCTCCCTAGGCCTTGGCCTCCTCAGTCCAAGCACCAGAATCTTTTTGCCCCACCTTATGGTCTATTCTGATGGCCATGCCCTAGACTTTCCACCCAGGATAACACTCTCTCTGAAATCTTTACATATATAAAACCATCACCTACTAGTCTTTTAGCATTCAAACGGCCCTACTTCCACTGCATCTGTCCTCAGGCCCTGAAGGTGGGCCTTCACCTCTCCCTAATCTCTCACTTAATTAGTTTCCCTCCCTTCCTCACAGAGCTGGGGCCCCACATCGGTCCCTTGAACTGCAGGCCTAGCAGCCCATCTCCTCCCCTGCTCATTCTTCTTGAGTACCTGCCTACAAACTCCCCACCTGGCTGTCTTATCCTTGGTGCCCTAATCCAGCTTCAGACATTGGCTCTGGCTCCTCACCTTTGAGGACCCTTTCAAACTTCCCCATCTGGCTTACTGAGGTCACTTTTCTACTTCACTCTCAGCTCTGAACACTCACCTGCTTTCAATATCTGCCACAGCTTTGGGTAAGAGTCTCCCTCCATATGTTCCAGTCCCTAGTCAGCCTGGGCATGGCCTTACCTTGTGAGGAGGAGAGGGATTTGGATATTCTAGCCAAGTATTTTGAAAGAATAATCTATAAATATATATCTCTCACCTAATGTCTACTCATCAAACCACTATTATCTGATTTCTATGCATCCCACAATGTAACACTATATCATTAAAATTGCCATGTCTCTGGTCAATAATAATCTCCTAATTACCAACTCACAAATGTGTCTAAGTTCTTATCTTATTTGGTCTTATCTATGGGTTTTGCTACCTTAACCACCCCCTACTTTTTTCTTTGACTTTGGAGGCTCCTTTTTGTCTATCTGCTGTCTTACCTCTCTTACATTCTCAGTATCCATTGTTGGTTCCCTTTCCTGTGTCTTCTCCTTAGAAGTTGACATTCCTAAGGATTCTGGTCTTGGCCACCTTTCCATTTCAATCTTTCCTCCTCAACAGTCAAACGTGTTCCTGTTGTTTTAAATACCCCTTATATGTTGTTGGCCCTAAGTTCTAGCCTTTAGCTATACATCTATAGCTAAAGGCTAGAACTCTCTGCTAATTCTCAGGATCATATATCTAGTGTCTCCTGGGAGATTTCCATCTTTATCTCTCACCTTAATATGCTAAAATTGATCTCATCTCTTTCCCCTACTTCCCTAATCTTTTTCAAGAGTTCCCTAATCTTAATTGATGGAACCACATCCTCCCAGCTTCCTAGACTCTACCTTCTTCTTCACTCACCACAAACAGTGGGTCACTACACTTTATTTCTATATTTTAAATCCATTATTTCTTCTTTACTCCTTCTGCCATCATCTTAATTCAGGGTCTCAGAGCTTGTTGCAATGGTTGAAATAACTTTCAATTGGGTTTCTAGTCTTTCCTCTTCTACTTTCTCCAATCAACCTCTGCATGGCCACTGAGGTAACATTTTTGTAAAACTCAAGTCTGATTACATTTTTCCCTTATTTGTTCCTTTAGAACAAAGCCCTGGCCAGAATCAGGGCATGTGAAAGGCTTTATCATCTGCTCCACTAAGCTCCCAGCTTCTCTTCTCTTTGATGAATTCCAGCCAATTCAATCTGCTTCTAGTTCCCTAGACACACCATGTTGTCTCATTCCTCTGTGCCTTTGCACTGGCAATGACCTCTCCCTAGGATATTACTCCTCCATCCCCTCCTAATACTCAGAAAAGCCTCATGTGTCCAGCAATATTCAACTTAGAAATCATCTCTTCTAGAAGGGTTTCCATCACCATCTTACTCTATCTCTGTGATAGCGTTAACCCTTTCCCCCTTTCAGAATGTAAGTATACTTGAATTATTAGACTTAATATGGTGAATGCAAATTTATTGATTTATATATTTGTTTCCCTTTCCAGAACATAAGCCTCTTTGTAGAAGGAACTGCATCTTGCTAACACAGTGCCTCATATATGGTAAATAACACATAGAAAACAAATGCTGGCAAAATTAAATTGAACACAAAACACATGATTTACTCATTGCCGTCCTCCCTGAAATCTCTCTTACATGCTGAATCCAATTCTCACCAAAGCCAGTCAACTCTGTTTTCAAAATATCTCGAGT